GACTCCCGGCTCCCTCGCCTTTCTCTCGCTTGGCTTAAAGTTTCTGCCACTTACGGCGGCTGCTCGGCAACGGCATCACCATCCTGGCAAGGTGCAAACCCGCTTCCCTGCGCTGCTGTTCGTCAGAGCTGCTGATGGGTGCAGGGTCCGTGCCTGTCATCGAGGGGGTCAGTCGGACGGTGGCTGGAGCCCAGGATGCTCGTGCAGCTCCCGAGCCCCGGCCGGCGGAGGCTGCGCAGGCGGCCCCGCGGCACACGCACGTGGCTCCTTATTTCCTACTAACAGCTTTGCCTGTGCACTTCACGCCCCTTCACCTGCGCTTCGCAAAAGATGCATTCAGCAGAGTAGCAGCCTGGTATGAAAACAGAAGTAACCTGCGATGAACGCGAGGAGCTTTCCAAAAGCACCGCAGTGAGAGCGTTTCTGTGATTCCAAGGTTTATTTTGCGTGCCTCCCAGCGGGCAGCTCTTTCAGGCCCGCTTTCCTTGACTGCCAGGGAGCTGTGCTGCCCCAACAAGGTTGCGGTTTGCTGCCCTGTCCAAGGCGGACGAGAGGATTAATTTCTTTCCTGTTGGGGCCAACGTGAGCTACGTCTGCCGCCCTGGCTACGAGAACATCTCAGAAAGTTCCCCCACCAGCACTTGCCTTGAAAACCTGGCGTGGTCGGAAGCTGCTGAGCTGTGCAGGAGTGAGTATCTCTGCTCCGCTCCGCTTGCCAAAAAGCAGCTGTGAAGTTGGGAGCAGGTCAGGTAGCTGCTCCCAACCCACGTGCTGAAATGCAGCTGGGTCGTTATCATCCCCACAGCTACATGCTTAATACAAAATTAGGTGGATATTCCTTGACAATTCATATTTAAGACTGAACAGCAGGAGTATCAATAGGGTTCTTTTTTTTTCTGCTGGCATGAATGATCTGTTTTGATTTTCATCTTAGGAAATATGTTTGCATCTGGACACGGCATATGCGGAGGACAAATGCCAATTTGCAATTCTAGCACTGAACTTCAAAATTAAGACAAAGCGTGTTTCTTGGTGAAATCCATGTAATATTAAGACTGATGATGTGGCAGCAATGCATTTTTCACAGTCGAGTGACTTACTGCCAATCTCTTGAGAGGGAAATATCCCTGCAAATATTCTCCTCTGCCCTCCTGCGAGATGCTTACCACTGTGAGTGCGGAGCCCTCGCGGGGATCCGCACCTTCATCGACAGCTGATTCTGGCACCTGCCAGCTCGGCTGTGACACGTGGGAAGCAAAACGCTTTGGTACCTTTGGGTATAACCCTCCACGTCTGTCCCTTATTTAGCCATTTTTATTTCTTCATCACTGTGTGGTACCACTAACACCGGCCTCTCCCACTGGCAGGGAGATCCTGCGGCGAGCCGGGAGCGCTGCCCGGGGGCAGGGTGGTGGCTCTCACAGACTTGCAGTTCGGTGCAAGAGTGAACGTGTTCTGCGAAGACGGGTGAGTCGCGGGGCGATGCCCCGAGCTCCAGTACACCAGTGCTGATGCTGGAATACAAACGCCGGTCCAGTGCAATGAACTTGTGGACACGGGCTGGGCTGCTATTTCACAATATATCGCTCCTACGGTGCAGAGCATGGGGCTGCTTTTCCCACTTGAATCAGAGCTTTGGGCTGGGAAGGAATAAGACACACAGCCGGAGGGAAGGGACTGGGGTCTGAATGTATGGCTGCCTTTTCCTTCAAGTGTCATCCAGAGGAAATTTAACTGGGTATCTATCCCAACAGAGCTGGCTGTACCATCAGTTCATATAGACTTCATACTATAGACTTCAAAACATATTACTTAAAATATTTCAATTTAACATATTTGAGATACATTGAATAAAAAGGGGTTATGGTTGAATTTTAAAAATTCAATGATGTTCAGCTAGAAAACTGCAATGAAGCACACTTTCCGTCAGTCAGTGAGCTGACTCACGCTTTCTGCCTGCTTTCAATCAGGACACATATGCAGTAAACTGACTTGCAAAATTAAGCTCTTAAGACCCCAGCTAGTATTCCTCCCTCCCCGGCAGGAGCTAGTTGGCATCCTCTGGCTTGTTCTGTCAGTCTTTGCAGCTGCTTCAAATGTAACAGAGCTTTTTTTTCTCCGGATATTCCCTTAGGATGGATGTTGGGGAAATGACAGCATGGCCCACCCTTCTGGGGTTCAGTTAATCTTTGGCACTACACAGCAGGGTGGAGGGATAATGTTATCCATCTAAGCAAGATCAGATACTATCAATCATGTCCAAATGATGAATTTTTTTGCACAGGAGGATGTAATTCAGAGATTGGGGAAGGTGTCGGTGCTGTCAGAACACGATGTATTAGCTTCTGGCAAGCCAGCCCCAAAGCCACTTTAATGAAACGCAGATCCCTATTGCCCCTCGCTGGTCCCTGCTGCATGTAGTGGATGCCTTTGAATATTTGCAGAGACCAGCTGAGAAGGTATGCCAGCAGTCTGCTGTCATTTGCTTTTCTGGCAAAGCTTTAGCAAAACAGCAACACCCTTACAACCCAAAAGCACCGTCCTAGGGAGAAGGTGGCAGCGAAGGAGGCTGGGCACCCTGCCCCTGCCACCAGCACTGAGGCTTGCGGCAGAGCCAGCTAACCGACCCGGGTAATGCAGCACCGCCGCGAAGCGGAGCAGCAGTCAGGGGCTGAGCCACAGCCTTTAGAGATGCTGTGCGTGCTCAGGAGGGAGCTCCTCACCTCCTCACCTCGTCCTGGTGGGTGGCAGCAGTGTGGGAAAGGCGCTGGATGCCAGCAGCCTGAATCCCAGCACTGTTCTCCGCCAGGAAGCAGGCAGGGAGAAGTAGTCCCTGATTCAGCAAATCCGAGGCCGGTGCATCCATGTGGGAAGCCACATCTAACCTCAGCGCTGTCTGGCATTCACTGTGTGCGCTGCTAGCCGCCAGCCGCGACTTCTCCCATCCTTGCAATGGAAGATGCGCCCTGCAGCCAAAGGAGAGAATCGCCCGAAAATAGATTAGCAAGGATCCTGGCAGAGAGCAAGGTGAAGGAGCTCTCCTGTTAACCAGCTTGTATCTGCATGTCTGCTTGTTTTAAAACTGCCTTTTCTACACTCCTGATCATGCTGGTACTGGGGGAAAAAAGTTCTTCTCAGTTTCTGGATAGTTACACAATTTTTTGTTTTCTTGTGTGTTTTCACTTAGGTACAAATTAGATGGGAGTCACTTCATCCAGTGTCAGCTGAAAGGAAACGACGTTGAATGGAGTAAACTTCCAACTTGCGAATGTAAGATTAACCCAACCTTACTTTTGACTTCTGTCCAGTAGATCCTGCATACTAACGTCTAGTCTAAATCTGTCTCCGTACTTCGTTTGTCTTTGTTGATATTATGTGGCAGATCTGTCACCAACACGGCAGCTGAGAAATGCCCGTTTTGCTGCTGACACTGTATTTCAGCAGTTTTGTTCCCACAAGATCAACATATTTTCTCATGAGTTAAGGTTGCAGTGAAGGTGATGGGAAGAGATTTTGAGGAATCACAAGCCAGGGCATGGCAAGTTGCCTGTTTATTTTTCTGACCCTGGGAGTGAGAGGGAGAAAGATTTGACAACAGAAACACTTCAGAAAGAAAAGAGAGATGATCGAGACAGAAGGCAGTGCTAGTTACCCATCTTCAGTTGTCCAAAAGGTTTATTGTCTTCAAGAATCTTAGGGGATGCAAGAAACTTTGCATTTTCATTATTACTGAAGCCTTTTGCAATACTCATTTTGACCTTCTTTCCTGCAGTAATTACCTGCTCTTCACCTCCTCAAATTAGCAACGGAAAGCACGATGGCAAAGGTGTAGAAAAATTTGCTTATAACTCAACAGTGACTTACAGCTGTGACTCTGGCTTCCAACTCATTGGAAATGTGAGCATCCGTTGTACGAGTACGGACAAAACAAATGGAGTCTGGAGTGGAACTGCACCTGAATGCAAAGGTGATTTCATCTGAGTTTAGTATTTGTTACGAGTTCAGTATTTAGCATGCACCAGCTTAACATACAGGGATTGCTTGGTACAGGACATGTCAAGTGTAAGTCATATTGCAATTTTAAAGAGAAAAAATGCAGTGCTGCTAAAGTGAGTAAGGAATGAATGGTCTGTGCAGGAAAGGCGTAGTGCTCCTAGCAATACTTACTCTTTATACCCTAGAGAAAAGCACGTCTGTCAAACTTGGAGCAAAAGAAAGGGAAAGGAGTCCTCCTTCCCCAAGTGAGTTGAAATGATTCTACATTGAATCAAGTCCCACGTTTCCCAACTTAATTTGCTCCTTTATCACATTTCTATGAAAAAGCCATCAGATGAACTTCACACCGTGATTTTCATCCTTTCAGGTTCCCGTGGAAATGCCATCCGACCGTCTAAGAAGGCTTTCACACAGGAAATGAAGCTCAGCCTTTATAAAAAGTCACTCCAAAATACCATCTCCTTCTCCCGTTCTTCTTCTTTCTCCAAGACACCAGGTCAGTCCTGGAGGCTCATTTGGAGTTCAGGGGAACTCATCAGTGGGACTCCCTGGTTACTCCCAGTCCTATACCTGGAGTTTTTGTTTTTTCCCATGTTTCTCTTCAGTGTCAAGGGGCTGTGCTACCCCGGCGTTCAGATTTGTTGTACCTTTGTACAAAACTCGAAACTACTATTCTCCTGGGACCAGCCAACCATCTGTGTGTCCTCCAAAGTACATGGGGATCTCTGGCATCCTCCCCCAAGCCGGCTGCTTTGAAAACTTAAAATGGTCTAAAGTTGCATCATTTTGTGGAAGTGAGTGATTTTTTTGTCATGTTCTTTTCTTCTATAAACTTCCTCTGTATAAGTTATATTTTTCACTGGTTGGGCATCTGGTTCAAAGCTCAGGTTTGACTGCACTGACCTCCTCCTCTTAAAAAAAGCTTTGTTTTGTGTGAAATGTATTTTCATTTGTCAATTGTTTCCTTGCTCTCGTGTTATTAGAGATTTTGCCTAAGCCATTTTTTTTCCATCTTGAAAAGCAAGAGATAACTTTACACCATGTAGCCTTAAGCGTGCTGGGGCTTCTGTCCTTGTTGCGGCAGCGAGAGGCGATGCACTAACGCTAACCCTGTTCCACGCTAGTGAGGTCGTGGGCAGCCAGGAGAAGCTGGACGTGGCAGAAGTGCTGCTACAACAGATTCCCCATCCGCTGCAAAGGATTATTTTACCCGTAACAAGGGTGAGTGTCAGTTGTGTTGGAAACACTGTCTGGGTGGGAACCGTAAGCATCTAAATTGCAAGTAATAAAGACAAAACACCCACCGGAGGGTCTCGCTACCCAGCTGGAGACTGGCTGAAAAGCATTTGTCCGATGTCAGGGTCCAGCTGAGCTTGCCCGTCAAAACCAGAAAATCTGTCACCCCTGTCATGGTGGGTTTTGTGTGTGAACCCGCACAGCCCGGGGCTGTTCACACATGGGAGGAGGCTGGTGCTTAAGCCCAGGTCCAGAAATGCCCCCGCGCAGGTGCAGCGTGGCCAGGAGGGATTTTCCCCATTGCCGCATCATTTCTCAAAGGTGGGGTTTGTTCCGACCTGCTAGCATCGCCAGGCTGATGGCTGTGACCGAAACCCCAAGGTATTCGTCTGGACGGTTAAACAAGGAATCAAAGAATCCCACTTGCAGGGTTAAAGGGAGGGTAACGGCGCTGCATGGTTGGGCACTTTTGGAAGTGTATGAAGGAAAGACGTTGCAGTGGTATCGGTGTATGAAAAGGGCTCCAAGAAGGGCTTTGCAGGCCTTAAAGGAGATGAAGTTTGGTGACTTTGGGGCCCTTGGTAGGAACAAATGAAAGCTAGAAGCGTCCTAGATCATACAACATAGAAGGAAAGGGGAAAACTTTGTCCTTTTTTTTTTCCTAGAAGTTTCTACTTTGCTCTATTACGTAACTTCAGAACAAAGATTGATTTAAAAATCTCTTCCCGTTGGTTTTTCTTTTTTTACTCTTTTGTCATTCTTGGCACTTCTTCAGGAGATCGTGTCAAAGCAGCAGCTTGACATACGATCTAATGTGTGAGAAACGCCGCTTTGTGTTGTACTTCAGGAACTTGGCTCTCCTGCCCCGACACACGGGTCCTGTAACATCAGCCCCTCGTGCCAGAAGGCTGGAGCAAGGAATGAGCCGGGGGAAAGTGGAACGATGCCTGAAAACAGCTTCTAGTGTTTGAAGGAGGAACTGGTTTGGGCCTTTCTAATGTCCAGTGCTAAAATTCACCCCCAAAACTGGGTGGGTTTTTAAAAATCTGGGCAGAAAGCTTAACTCTCCTTGAAACTACAGCCGTTCCCTTCCCCCAGGCTGTGTATAGTTCCCATGGGAAGTGCACGCAAAGATTTATTTGTAGCTTTGAAGCAGTTTATTTGTGACGGGGCTGCTCTCCTCCAGCGACACCGTGACAAAGGGACCCCCGTGGAAGAAACCCTGGAAGGAGGCATTTGCACTTTCCTTGCATGGTTGCAAAGACAACTGGAATGTGCTGCTCTTCTGCCATCTCACTGCAGATGCAGACAAGACACGCAGCTACATGGGGTCCCACCTATCTAAATATATTGTTATCTTTTTCAAACAAATATAGCACTGTAAACATAATGCATGCAAAGCCTTCGCTGTGTTAAGTTCCGAAAGTGCCCTGTGCAATCGTCGTACTTGTTAGGACTCTTACACTTTGCTTTAAAACAAAGAATAAGCCAGATCAGGTCTGTCCCATGTGCACATACAAAATATATTTTTTAAAATTGTAATATGTTTTAATGTCCAAGAAATTGATTGAAAATTACGTACGCAAGAGTTGGCTAACTCCCATAGTTGCTTCTCCCATCAGAGTTTTTCTCTCTTTCAGTAATTTCTCCCTAACATCCCGAATCCAGTTACGATTCCCTACTGATCTGGTCAGCCTTTATTCAGGCTGGGCGTGGGAAGCCGCAGTTTCTCAGAAACCCCTGGGGCCTTCTGCAGAATTTCTGACGGAGCTCGGTTATGTCACAACCTGTTCAACTCGGTGTCACAACCGCACATTTCCTGGCTCGCTAGCAACGCCGACCTGCTGCCATAACAATCACCGCAAATACAGACTCACGGGACAGGCTGTAAAAGACCCAAATCTCTCTGCTGGGCGGAGCTGCTCCCGTAAGTTACCAGGAATTTCTGGCTGCAGCACGGTCCGGTTGCACATACACCCATGCTACCTGCCAGCAGGGTTGTGCTGAAAGCAAAATAGTGACTCCCCTGTCTCGCAAAGTTATGTGCTTATTTATTTGAGGAAATCATAGTACTTTACATGCTAAATTGAATGTTGATCGTTATATCTTCAGTACTTTAAACACCTTCTTTAGCATAAACATTTTTGTATCAGACATAAATTCTTTGCAGTTTATATTTCTGTTCAGACTACGTGAAAGAAAACAGCCGTGAGTGGTTTGTGTATCTACTAATCTCATACTGTAAAGGAGCTACTTCTGCTTTCCAAACAGAGGCAGGCAGCTCCGTAACGCTGCAGGCTGTAAGCACATCGACTGCACGCAGACACAGAGAGGTAACTGCTAAATATACTCTCCAGTGTTGTCATACTGGAAATGTCAGGTTTATGTTGTTGGCTGCTTACCATCTTAGTCCTATACAGAACACTAATTGCCTTCTATTTAGGTGCCTTTCTGCGTTTTTATTTACATTTAGTAATAAATGGTAATTGTTTATAAAGGATAGCCTGTGAACTCAACTGCCTGCTGTTCCCTTTTCATATTTTATACTCCTTTCAGGAAGGTATCAGCTTTTAAAGATATCTTGATAACGGTCAGATTTGCTGTTCAATCAGTTCTTTATCAGCATTCTTATTTATTTTCTAAATGGCCTCCTATACAGGTTTAACTTGGTTTAAAAAAAAAAAAAAAAGGAAAGAAAGAAAGAAAATTCATGCAGTAATGTTTGGGAATGTGCGTGTTTCAGGTAAGCGTTCTGAAAAAGAAAGCAGGAGTAAGGCATACCTGCCCTTAATCCTGTTTAGCTGCCCCGGTCCCAGGCCCTGCAGCCCCTCTGCGGAGGGGGTCCGTCCCCCCAGGGCTTTGGGAGCTGTGGGCGACGTCCCGGGCTGCTGCCCTGCGTGGGGATGGCAGGGGCGGGCGGGGAGCCGAGGGCGTGTTTCTGTGGAAAGCCAAGAGCAACTCCAGCAGCTCAACCCCTGTTTTTGCTGGCTGGTTTTGCTGGAAACCTCATGTTGTTCCAGTCCGAGCCCGGCAGCGTAGGTGCACAGAGCAGCACGGGTCAGGCTCCCCTCTGCACGTGTTTCACTTCTGCCGTCGCCATCTGCTTGGCCTGATTTCTGCAGCACGGGGAAGGGATGTCAGAGCAAGATAAAGCAAGTCGCCCTCAGCGGCTCCAGCTGGGCAGGCGCAGACCCGCTATCGCAGGGCTCAGCTGCTGGGGCAGCTCCTGCCCGGGGGGTTTTGGTGCTCAGTCCGTTACTGGGGCAGTACAGGGCAAAACGGGGCGGCAAACATGGGTGGCAGAGGGACGGGGCTGGTCTGAGCCTGATGCTCTCGGCAGGCTCTCCTGCGTGGCCTCAGGTGGGAAGGCAGCCTGGTTCAAGGGGTTAATCTCACCCTGTTAGCACGGGGATTTCACTGAGTTGAAACTACAGCAGCTGGTTCTGCTGATGTACGCACGAACCCTGCCGCTCCCTGAGGAGACTCGGCGTTGCAAGAAGTCTTTGCCAAATACTTCTCCACATCTCACTAGCCCACGCTGAGGTCACTGCTGTAAGATATTACAAGAGAATTCCCCAGCATTTAAAGCATTTTTTTTCCTGTTAGCAACTTCCTTTTGCATTATGCAGCCACCATCCCAACTCAGACCTCAGGTGACCAGTGACCTGTAAAAATATGTGGCCAAGACATCTCCATGTAATTTGTCAACATGTTCACAAGTATGTTTAAGGAATACGTTACCCAGGCTGCTTGACTCCTCCCTTAAGAAAACACCTCTTGGCCTCATTGCAAATGCTTTTGTTACATATTCTTGGAGCTTAAATTGTGTTGGAAAGGGAAATAAAGTGGGGGGAAAAAAAAAGAAAAAATAAAAAAGATAACTTTGAGCTTTCAGTGGAAACATCACTGTTTCCTGGATAACAAAGGCAGAGGGAGGCAGGAAGGTGCAGGCAGGCTGCTGCTGGCTGCCCTTTCCTCGGGGTGGGGTGACACGTGCCCCCTTACTGGCAGCGCTGCTCAGCAGAGCGGGACGGGGCAGCAAATACAGCCACAACCTTTCCTTTGGCTCTTCCCGCAAGCCCCGTGGGCAGGCATCCCAGAGCAGCTCTGCTTTCCCACGCAGACACGGAGCCGAGGCAAACTGCTCCCGTGCCTGGCAGGGCCCGAGGACATCCCTGAGCCTCCGTGGGCAGCGCAGTCTCTCGTTCGAAGAGTTTTGTGTCTAACCGGGAGAGTTGCAGTGGCAATGCTGGTATCCCC